GTGGAAATGCACAATTAAAAAGACCTTCTCCCTCTCCCTTTCTTCTGCTTTATGTATTCTATACTTAAAATGTCAGTGTTCAAAACATGATCAACTCTCCTGATATAGGTTGCTAACCTCTGGTGGCACTTTTCTTCTGCCACCATCACCTGGTCAGAAAGTATGTTCTCTTTACCCTGACTGGTGAAAATCAGAACAGATCTGACCTCAACTTTGATCTATATTTACAGTTTTGTTTTGTTAACAAGAATTGCTCGAGAAGTGCTTGTTTTGGTGGAACCTGTCATCCAGACGGAGTTGATCAACCTCGATGACTTTGCCAAGTTGAAGCAGAATGTCACATGTACACACAACTGTGCTCCATCCTTTCACCGTCACTCACTCAGACATGTTAACCTCCCCCTCTGCTAGGTTTCACCGGAAATTAATTAGAACAGTGTGACAAATCTTAGAAGCACAATAAGATTAAACATTTGATTTAGGGCTGAATGTTGATACATGTTCTGACCATTTTCTCTTTTGAACATTTAGTCTCCAAAATGTGAGAACTAAACTGAAAATGTCCATCTCCAAGTCCAAGGTGATGTCTTTCAATCTTTAGGTTGTTTTCAGTACAAAAGTCAAAGATATGCAATTTACCAGTGTTGAGAGAAAATGGAGACTAAACAACGTCTATCGTTGACTATACAATATGTGTGTCTTTTGATTTCCAGCTAAACACTAAACAAGTAAACAGGTGGGAACAATTACTGACAACACTATGTTTCCATGGTAGCACACTGACACCGTCCAACTGTTACTATGTAGGTAAAACAACTCAGAAAAGGTACATACAAAAAAGAAGATGCAATAAATCCACATATTTGAGAGGCTGAAAACAACATGTTCTGCAATTTCTGGATGAATAATGAATTCAATGATTAATAACTTATCAAAAATAATTGTTGATCTACCAAGATATGAGTCGACTAATTGTTTCAGATCCCATTTTAAAAGCTATTTTATTGCGCAATATTGACACTTTTATAATAAGCTGTGAATGAGAGTTCATTAAATATCACACCTGATAATTAAAGTTTATTCTGTCACAGTGTAATAACAGCTCCACGCCCTTTCCCACATAAACACAAAGACTCATATGCTCCAAGTCCGGGGTGTGGCTAGAAAATGTGGTCCTCTGACAACAGTTCAACAAATGATTTGACACATTGCAAATCTACAATCCGTGTCATGTTCCAGCTGATTCTCACACACACACACACACACACACACACACACACACACACACACACACACACACACACACACACACACACACACACACACACACACACACACACACACACACACACACACACACACACACACACACACACACACACACACACAGAGACACTAGAATGGCCTCTCTTTATACATGCGAGAGCTTCTTCAGCCTGTATTTCAATCAGGAGAGACTTCATTTTGTTTAAAGAACATTTATTGACACATGCCATATGATAAATGTTAAGTCTTTGGTGAAAGGAGCTCTGGATGGGGAGGAGGCGGGCGGCAGCGTGAAAACCTGAAATCACAGCTGACTGCAGGAGAGAAGAGAACCATTTTAAAGTTTGGCTGCAGCATGATGATTGGCTGCTGGAGAATGAGGTGAAAGGTAATAGGTTAAAAAGAACACCCAGTCATTCCAGAATTTGAATGATTGGAGGACAATTTAGTCACCATAGGGCGACTGTGGCTGCGAGGGAGTACGGTCGTCTTTCAACCAGAAGGTTGTGGGTTCGATCCCAGCCCATGCAGTCAACATGTCGATGTATCCTTGGGCAAGATACTTAACCCTGAGTTGCTCCCGATGGCATGGCCAACGGTGTGTGAATGTGTATGCATGTTAGTGCATACACTGCTCTGTGTGAATGGGTGAACGACATGTAGTATGTAAAGCGCTTTGAGGGGTCTTAAAGACTGGATAAAGCGCTATATAAGTACAGTCCATTTACCAACACTTTTGAAAAATGAACCTTTTATTTATATGATTTTCTGTTATGTATTTAGGAAAAACGGACAATAAACCATCAAAAAAAGTGATTTGCCCAGCTAAGGCATCAAATGTACACTTTTTATTAGATGTTTTATTTGTTGTGTGCCATGCTTTGTGCAAACCTGTTACAAATACTCATTAAGCAGAACAAAGTATTTTCAAAAATATTCTTCAATACATTCTTTACTATTAAGTAAAGAAAGTCACATTTACATTAAATACTCATGTCGTTTTTGGATAAAACTGGTTTAATTTTATTATTTTAAAAGAAAATGATACAGTAAACCCTGTAGTAACAGGGTTGCATAAAGTAACAGGGTTGAATGTTACTTTTGATTGTAGATCATAATGAGACATAGTTTGAGACAAATAAATACTCAGGACCACAGAAATGTTGTTTGATCATATTTTATATATATTTTCCAATGAAGAATTAACCCTGTTACTCTAATTTAGTTACAGGGTTGCAAATCAAAGCTAATTGTAGCTTTTACCTCAGTAATTAATGCTAGCTGCACAATGTAATGCTATTGTCAAGGAATGGACACACTTAGATATTTAACTAAAGAAAGATACATTTGAAATTAATTTGTTTTAGTCTCATAATATGAGTAACAGGGTTGCGTTTGTATGAGTGCTACACTCCTTCAAGAGTGACAAGATTGGAAATATATTAAAAATAAAAGAGAGGACTTACTTTTGGTCTACCCATGGTAGTAGTGGCACATGGCTTGCTGATGTGTGACAAACAGTTTTTTCACTTCCTCTGCCAAGCTAAAAAGGTTTCGGTAACAGGGTTGCGCGCATGTTGTGGGACACACTTTCAGTGTAAAATTACTGTTATTTAAAATGTGTTTATGATTTAACAAATTGATTTTGCCATTACAAGATAAATATATCAATAGAATAATACCAACAAAAGTCAATAAAAACCCTATTTTAAATGTTATATTTGACATGCAAGTTGGTCACCAAGAAGCTGGGACAAGAGACAAATGCCATTTTAGGGGATGTTCGAGAGCTATTTTAAATAATATTTTTAAACCACATTTTCTACAACTTTATATACATTTTGTCTCAAGACAAGTATATTTAACACAACATGTGTATGTTTTAGCTTTTTGGGCATGGACTATTTGATTTTTTATATGTGGGACATGAAATGCCCTCCAATTCTGGAATGACCTGAATGGGTATATACCCAGTCTTCCTGAAATAACTTGTGCTGAGCTTCATAGAGAAAGATGGAGGCTCTCAGCAGAAACAACAACAGGTCTGATAAACAAAGACTGATCATATTTGTACTACTTTTTTGCCCTTTTTATGTTTGATTCACCTGTTTTTTAATAAGATGAGTAATTGTTAGATTGTTGTTGTTAGTAATTATTGTGTTTTGTTTTAGGGCACTCATATCCAACAGGGAAGATCCAGGTCATGGGAGACATTTTCCAGTTGTCATCACAACTTCGAACAACCGAATAAAGGTGGAAGCGGAGAAGGTGAGCCACACAGTCGGCCTAGAAAGACCTGTTCATGTGTCCACAAAACAGTTGTTTGATATATGTAAGGTCGTTCAAGTATTTTGTATTGCACTGTAGATTTTTCTTTGAAGCCTTAATACATGCTGATCAAGATTAATTCAAAAAGAATCAAGTTAAAATAATGGCTTTAATGCAATGGATTACTGGAAATGGGCTACAGAACATCTCCACATTTGAAATCCTTTTTGTTTGACCATGTACATTTGAAATAGGAAAAGAATGTCAATACATTTCAATTTAGAAGCATGGTAAGCCTCTCATACTTAAGAAATATGATTAAAGAAATGTGTAAAATTAAACAATGGTTTGAGTACAACTCATTAATTTCTGTCCTCATTCTCTCTGCAGCTGCGAAGATGGTGCAGTCACACACACTTTCTGCCATAGATGCAAACTGCCATCGAGTGTGGACCCCATATCTGTGACCATGAGCATGGAGATTGGAGCAGCGGGGCCCTGACTGTCAGAGCTCACAGACTGTTTTCATCTCCTCCCTGTGTATCTCCTCCCTCCCTCAACGCTGGAGTTTAGTGAACTCTGGTGGTGGACGAGAAGTACTACTGAACATATTAAAGATCCATAATACTGGTCAATGCACTCTATTATAAAAAAGAGTGATTTTCAATGATAACTATGTAGGTCAAACATGTCAATGACGGTTGAAATAAATGCGCACAACTTTTGTTAATTGTATCAACATGTCTGCTGCAAAACAACTTTATTAATCCCAAATTGGGAAATTTAGAAATGTTCCCAATTTGGGATTAATAAAGCATGTATTATTTTTTCTTAACTATCTATTTTACCCTATGTTTAAATTATTAACCAAAAGTAATACAAAGTCAGCCTATATAGTTGATATGACAAAAAAAAGGCAACAAAGAAAAGAAATAAAGACTTATGAAAAGGGTCTTGATTGATCAACAAAAAACTAAAATATGAATGAAAAATGTCAAATGTATAATTAAAACACAACTGTCTAATTTATTTTGTTGAGTTTTTGTCATGACCCATATTCAAAAAGTCTTGCCAGCATTTCTTGGGTGTGTAAATGAATGTAAAAACTGTGTTGATAAAAACAACTTTATTTAGTGTTTCATGCAGCGTAACATTTATTAATTATCCTTTAAGGTCTGCTAAAACTTTATAATAATAATAATAATCCTTATATTTATTATAGCGCTTTTTCAATGACTCTCAAAGCGCTCCTTACAAATATAAGGTTAATTTATGAGGTTAACCTTAGCATACTCAAAAGCAGTGCCTGTTTTGTTTAAGGCACGACTCTTTATTTTGTCCCAAAACACATGTTAGTGGCAGATAAAGCCCAAAGACACAAGATTTATCGAAGCACCTGAAGGAGACATCCTAAACTACATGGGGAACGGAAGTGACGTCAAGCGGTTGTCAAGGGATGATTTAGTTTACGGAAGTTCTAATCGATTGGCTGCACTTAAAACATGTTGTTTGTCGGCTCGACTTGCAAGTTTTAAAGCACTTCGTTGTGAGAAAAGGCTGTTTGCATTTCTTTGATTGCGTCTCCGGTTTCACGAGTTGTCTTGTTCCGCTACAGTTCGTCCTTTCTGGATCATAAACTGAACATAGCAATGTGATGCTAACTAGAGGCAACAACAACAACATGGCACAAGTTTCTCCTTCCTCCGGATCAATCATTGTGGCAGACTGGCATCGGTGTAAAGACAGCAAAGAGTATTTCAGCAAAATACTGCACAAGAAGAGGCGCAAAAACTTCGGTAGGACAAATAAACTTTAGCATTTTAGTTTGACACAAGGAATTATTTCGACAGTACATTTTTGTGACTAAGAAAACACATGCTGTCTGACATTTTACAGACATAACCAGATACAATCATTTTCATTTCATACTAAACAAATGAGCTGTACAATCTAACAAAGTGGCTGGCAGATACAGTTGCCTTCTCTTTTTTAAATCTACACTTTGGCTACCAAAATAAGGTGTCCATGAAGTGTTAATAATAATACAATGCAACAACAAAGTACACTGAGGTTTGAATTACCGGGCAAGCAGAAGGAAAAAAGAATAAAACACTTAAAAAAGGATGTTGTTAGGTGTACTATTTTATTTGGCATATGAACTTTATCACTCAAAACCAGATGACAAAACGTACATGCTGTCCTGTGGAATAATACAACAAGTAACAATTCAACAGTGAAAGTAAACAAATGGACATAAACCTGCAACATAACACAATTATTGATCCATGTATGTACGTATAATAAATAATACAATTGAAAGTATGAATATCAGTATCTTACAAATGTAAGCATTTAGATGTTTCTTTTATAAATGATTTTACAGGCCTGTTGGAGTCTCCGGTGATGCCCCCACATGTAGCCGTGGACACCGTTCACTATAAAATCTTCCTCTCCGGCAAGAGTGGAGTGGGGAAGACTGCTCTGGCTGCACGTCTTGCAGGCTTGAATATTCCTAACATGCACTATGAAACCACAGGTAGACCCAGATCAATGCGAATCAGTTGTTTTTTAAGAATAATTGACACATGTAAAGGGTTGATCAGGTGAGACCACACATTTTATTTTACTTATGTTTTGTTCAAGGTATTGAGACAACGGTGGTGTACTGGCCGGTAAAACTTAGAGAAAATGGCAGAGTGCTTTTCTTCCGTCTGCAGCTGTGGGACTGTGGGGAGAATGCCTTGCGTAGATTCGACCATCTGCTGCCGGTGTGTTGGTGATATAGTGTGTTTGCACACTACGCTCACATTATTCTGTAATAGACTAAACATACATTCCTGATGTCTTCTGTCAGACGTTATGTTAAATCACACTTTCCTGTCTCCAGGCCTGTAAGGAGCAGGTGGACGCCGTCCTCTTCCTGTTCTCCTTCACTGACAGGACCTCCTTTGATGATCTGTCAAACCAAATCGCTAAATGGACTGGGGCTCCTGTGGGTCGTGTTGTGAAATTGGTGGTTGGCACCAAGTATCCTCTAACATTCTTTAAATAAAATATGAATGTTATGAAAGTTAATCTGAATCTATAACTGCTATATCTATTCAGAGATTGGCCTTAATGTCTTCTTCAGATTTGACCTTTTCATGCACTGTGACGTGGCAGAGAGAGACGTGAGGAACTTCCAGGAGACGTGGAGCGTACCAGTGCTGCGTGTGGGGGGGGAGGTCAGTGACGGACTGGGGGATGTGGCCTCTCTCCTCAACTGCCTGGCGGAGCACCTGTGGCATCAGGACTGTGTATCAGCCAGACGCCATTCACAGCAGGAGACAGGGACTGTACTTTAATCCTGACTTAGATGTTTTAGTAGGCAGTTTAGGTGACCTGCACTCAAGGTGAGGTCCCTGCAGTGTGCCTGTGTATTGACAGCTGATCTGGGAGAGCTTTAGATCCCCCGGGATGAGATGAAGGAAACTTATTTGGGGCTGATTTGATTGTTTCATATAATTCTATTATAATAATACATTTTATTTTTAGGCGCCATTCATGACACCGTACAATTTGTTAAAGAAAGAAAACGCTAATAGGCAACAGAACATGATAAAAACACAAACAGGAAATCATGGAGGAGACAGTCAAGTGGACACAAATGAAACATAATGGGGAGCACTACAGTGAGTAGGCAGATTTGAACAGGTGGGTTTTTTTAAAATTGGGATTTGAATGATCACTGCAATACATTTTATTTGTACTCACCCTTATGTCAGCAGGGTGTTGCATCAATATCGTGAGACCAGATAAGCTCATCTAATTGTTCTATTATGTGCCTCGTTGTCTCGTCTGTCCTCCTGCCTGTGAACATTGCACGCCATGTTAAAGGATGATTACATTCCTAAAATGCTTCTCAAGGAGAATACGCTCAGTGCAGGAGCCATGAGCAAGGATGCACAGGCAGGAGCCATGAGCAAGGATGCACAGGCATGACAATTTACTGATACAGCTTTTCAATTCTTTAATATGACAACTTGAATCACGTCTCATGTGTTATGCCTGTTGCCTCTACTCCTCGCACCTTCCATCGCTCACGTTTCAGGTCGGAGGAACATATGGAGAATGTTTAGACTGAGAAATAATAGATCGTCTGAGACTATGGTTATATTAACCTGCAGACGTGTTTATTATTTTGTGTTCTTCATGACACTGGATGCCTGTTTGAGCACATACAGTTCTCAATTTTAAAATTACAGCTCGTTTTTCTTTGTTACCGATGATATTACAGATTTCCTTTATACATGTACTTAAAACACCTACACTGAGTCAAAATAATGTCTGCTTGGTATTGGGTTCATTGGATCAGTATTTCACAGTGAGAAGATCAGTGGCCATTTTTTCCTCAGACTCTATTTACCTTCTTTATTCATTTGAAGTGTTTTTGTCAGAATAGGGCTAAACTTGTTTATAATAAAGTGAAAGACAAATTGATTAAAAGTTTCCAGCATTTTAATACAAGTGAATAAATACATTCTCAAGAAGTAATACAAAAAGTGTCCCTTTACTTGCCTTGTGTCAAATTGTGAAAAAAAAGTGCATGTTTAAATCCTTGTGCCATATGGTGCCCTTATTAAGATTATAAAAAGGTGCAGTTAAGTGGAAGATAAATCAAAAAAGTCATACAATAATTGTTATCATCACATGTTTATATTAGAAATGTGCAATTTAAAACAACCACAATTCGAAGTTTCAAATTAGTTTGCAGAATCATGAATCCTCTCACACTGCAGCAACTTCATCCACACCTCTGTATCCGACCTGCAATACAATCATAAAAAGCCAATAATAAATGAATCATCAACTACAGGATATTTATTAGTATTAAAGACATATACAAAATGTCCACTTGTACCTTGTTTCTGCAGCAAGTTTCATGGTGGTGGGTTGTCCGGTGTGACTTTTAGAGAGATGCAACAGGAAGGAGTCTGGGGGCGGACCCAGGAGCTCATTCTGAACATGCTCCACTTTCACATGTCTGGGGAATTCAGCATGATCCATAACTGTGAACCCCGCTTGTTGGAAACTATACTTCTTTGATGAGATGACCAAAAGGTCATTAAAGAGGTGGAGGTATACACTTGAGAAGCCACTTTGTCTCATGGGACCCTGGTGCAGCAGAACACGCCCGCTTACAACCAGAGGGACAGACTGCAACGAGGAAGAGACATTCAGTCAGATTTTATATAAAAAAAACTTGATCCTGTTTTTTGTAACCTGTGTTAAGAAACTCGCCACCTTCATTTTGCCAAAATCCAGCAGCCTGTCCAGATAAACCAGCTCCTCAATGTGTTCCATTTTTCGGACCCCCTTATCACACTCTGTTACAATCTGTGGGTCAGAGAAGATGCATAACATTTCAAATTGGTTGAGTCTATTTGCTAATCATGCCTTCGATTGCTCACAGATCCTGTAAAACTCTTACCTCGTGGATGGCTGCTATCGCTTTTTCGAGATTGGATATAGAGTCAGCGTCTGGTTTGGTCTGTTTCAGGATGCTCTGAAATGAAAGACAACCGAACACAAACCTTAGAAGTATGTATATGCATGCAAACAATTAAAATATCATGAGACGCTAACCTGAAGGAGGAGTTTAATACGTGTGATTCTTTGGAAAGGAAGGGCAAGGAATGACTTCAGGTCCTGTCTTTGACAGTCTTTGTGACTCTCAATGTTCCTGATTAAATGCAGAAAATCTCTGTTTTGCTTCCTTGGAAATGGAACAGATTGAATGTATAGTTATTGGTGTTGTGGAGCGCCAGCAGTAATGTAATGTACAGAGACTTACAGCAGCTGGTTGACCATCGTCTCCTGGTACCTCATGTTGGTCACATACGGCACATAGACCCTGTGAAACTCAGGGCAGTGCTGCAGCACAATGTCTTCCACCTGAGAAATCAACACACTCTTCTCCAGTTGACCCTCCAGTTGACCTTCCAGATCCATAAGGAACCTATAAGTGACAAAAACTTAAATTTAGCAGACGTAAACACTTAAAAAAAAAAAAGATGTAGTGATATGTGGAGTTCTCACTTTTTACTGGCTTTCATTATTTGACAAATGTTGGAAAACAAATTGTGATGCTCCATTGGAGTCAGGGACTGTTTCAGTTCCTTCGAAGCATAGAAGTGTTTGACAGCAATAGTAAGGCTGTTTAGGTAAGACACTTCAGAGCCGATCAACTCAAAGATCGACTTCAGAGGGAGAAAAAGAGAACAATTCATTATTTATACATTTCTGTGACAATTAATTTCTCTGCAAAAGTAGGAGGATATTTTGATTTCTTACTGTCAGCAAAACTAATAAACCTCAATAATAAATTTGCATAGTTTCACAGCTAAAATAATTCCCTGGAAAATAGTATATTTAATCCCGTTTTGGGAATATTTCCAATAAACTAAAGTGTCCAACTGAGCCTTTAACAATAATATGTTGTTACTCACCTCCTGAAGGTGGATCTCTCCGTCTGGCAACCTTCTGAGCAGGCCAGACGCCTTCACCTCCTCTAGATCTTGCCAAAGGATCGAACACCTGACTGGGGGAGATTTAGCCAAGCATATATTCGCATCAATGGATAGTTGTTGAAAGCTTTTATCCGCGCTGCTGAGGTAGGCAATAATAGGAGTCTGTAGCTCCTGGGGGATTGTCAGTGCGCTCAAAGAACCTGTGTTCGGTTTGTTCAAATCATCGCTCTCCGCCTGCACACAGTATTCCTGGTAGTCCTGGTACAGATGGTCTTCAGAGCAAACAAGGAAATGAAGGAAAGTCACATGACATGGCTGTAGGTTACACTATTAAACCACTCAATAGCGCAGAGAAAGATACACTTACATAAATTGAAGTACTTTAACAGGAAGGACACACTCAGCTCTTCCTCCTCGGCTGTATCTGCAGCCCTGCGTTTAATAAGCAGTTCAGTTAGTTAAAACGTTTAAAATGTTATTAACACAGACAATTCTGGATTGTCCTCCTCCAACTAGTTTGCTGAGAAAAGGGTTGGGCTCTAGGTTTCAAATCCCAAGTTAAAGATACGTCTATGGGAGGGATCTAAAAGGAAAAAGATATTTCATCGTCACCCAATCCTACAAATAAAGTTAACTTAGTTTTCGAAGTGAAGTGCACCATGCGGTCCTTACCTTGAATCCTGAAGCTCACTGCTCCCATCATGGCCTCCAATGTCTTCATGTGTGCAGTCACATTGATCCATAGCGCCTCAGTCTCTCACTCAGACTCTTTATTTTAAAACTCTGACCAAGGTGCAAATGTGGATGTGTTTGTCTACCTCGGGATCCTTTATTTGACCCAGAGACACTCAGATTGAGTGAGCCAGGCTGATGCAGTCTGAACTGAGCAGCAATCACAATAACTGGAACCAGGTGTGTGTTTCTTTTCAAGCCTCTCGTGATCTCTCTAGCTGTGTCCCAGTTCAATACAAACTAGTTCAAATCTGAACAAGTGGTTGAATGTTTGTCCTTTTTTCAGTTTCAGACAGTTTTCTGAACAAATCTAGCAATTTTTCAACATCAGCGCTCTGGGAAATTGAGATTAACTTTTTTCATTGATCAAAAAGTAGGCCTATTAACTGATATCTATCATATTTCGTAAGTTGGGTTATTCATTTAGCTAAGTTATTTTTCCAAATAGGAAAACACATTTAAAAAAAGTATATTTAAAGAAATCAGTAGGCCTTATGAATTCCTTAGAACCACCATTTTCCCACAATGCATTGTACAAAGGATAAGGCTTCTCAGAGCTGGGGGGAAAAACAGATAATTGTTTGAGAGCTAAACAAGACGTCAAAATAGTCTTTCCAGTTTTGGTGCACAAACTGCATTCCCCATTTGTCTCCTGTTGTATTAAAGTTGACATAGTTGAGTACATTGATTCGATTAGCGGTTTTGTATGACTTGATTATAAAAATGCAGAAGTAAAAAATAAATCCACAGTGTACAAATACTATTTCCATTTTATTTGCAATTTAAAATTTCATACAAGATAAAAGTAGATAATTCAATCTGCCTGAACATTGTTTGTATATGACCCAAATAAAGGCATTCAAATCCATCCTTGATATATGATGCACCGACATGAAAATATCTTAACAGATTACAAAATGAAAATGGGTGTTTTTAAAAAGGGGATGAACACAAACTGTGAAGATTTGACACAAAATAAAAAGGAATTTCTAAACAGGAGCTACAACGAACAGGTTTGTAATCTACACATGGAAATGCTTTTTAACTGTAGAAAGAACAAATACCGTAAAAGATACCTTCTGAAATACACATACTGACTTGGAAAATGCCATCTATGATACGTCAACAAACTGTATAGCCCAATTGATATCTCCGTGATAATAACCATGGATAAAGGGGACTTTTACTTATCTAGAGAAATTGTAAACTTGATCAACACTGACCAAACCTTCTTAACTGCAGCAGTTCTCACAATGACCATTTCCACCTTTAGGTTCTAATTTGTGAGCCAAAGAGCTACCAACATAAAAATCATTCATCACAACATTGTTTCAAATATTTGTGTTTGTGCTGAAAGCTCAGCAGACAGAGGAGTAACGCTAATCTATTTTGAGATTTTATTTCATTTTAATGATGCTTCACAACTTAAACAGTTTTATGAGGTATCAAAGGGGAAATCATAATAACGTTTAAAGAATCAATCATACATTGGGCATTTCATAATGTGTCAACATTGGACAACAGAAAAAGAAGAAAATCAATCTACCATACCAACTCTTTAAAAACCAATGAAATGGGTGGCCACCCAAAACATCTGCATGCAAACACACCTCACATATCAGCAGTATCCGGAAAAGTTTTACCAGTTGTCCTGTTTGTCTGGGATATTCTGTAGGACACACAGAGAGAGACAGCATTTCCCTGTTTAAACGTGCTCCCTGATAAGAAGAGACATCTGGGTCAGTATCAAGGTATAAATCAGAGAGACGCTGAGGGGAGGGGGGGACTCGTAGGACTGGGTGTGAGTCTAGGTGGGCACAGTGATGCTGCGGGCTAGTAGCGCCAGCAGAGCGAGCTCCACGACCCCCTGGGCTTGTTCCAGCGCCTCTGTGGCCTCCCTGGCAGAAAACCCTGCTGCCTGGATCCTCTGGATGTGTTCAGATGGAAATTGTTCTCTTAAAGGATGTGGAGAAGGGACAGGAGGGGCCGGAGATGTCAGCTGGGGGGCAAGAGGAGGGGAGGAGAGGGTTGAGGTGCTTGAGACTTCTTCAGGTGAGCCCACTGCCATGGACAGAGGGCTGAGGAAAGTGCGCTCAGTCTGGAGGCCGAGAGAGTCTGGGGTGTTGGTGCCAGAGGCCCGTCCGTCTGCGACCCCCCTCCCCTGCTGGCCCTCCGGGGGCTCCCTGACCTCCAGGTCCCCTGTGGGGTCAGGAGGATCCTCTGGCTCAGTCTGAAAACTGCTGATGTTATTCACTTCAGCTCGCCCACATTTATCTGCCCTCCTCTCTGGACGC